TTCAGGGCATGCTCTAGTGCCCAAGATTATTGGTTTGTGGTGGGATGTTGTGTGGGTGGGTGATGGTTTTGGTTTGGTTGTTGTTGTTGTGTGTTTAGGTGGTGGGGTTTTTTTTGTTTTGTTTTGTTTTGTTTTTGTTTTTTTTGTGGTTGGACTCAATGATCTCTGAGGTCCCTTCCAACCACTACGATTCTGTGATTCTGTGATTGTGGAGGCTTTCTGCACAGGGAGAGACCTCCTCCAGGCCCTGGGTGATGGATGGTCGGAGTATTGTCTCAGCAGGGAGTAAAAAGAGAAATACCTTTTATTACAGATAAAAGCCTCTTATGTTTCTAGAGAGCAGAAGGCAGCCCCGCTACGGGACAGGCACGCGGGCGGGTACGAAGCGCTTGGTGCCAGGAACATGGAGCTGCTGCAGATCCTCTTCTTCCTCCTCCCCCTCCTCCTCCTCCTCTTCCTCCTCCTCCTCCTCCTCTCTCTCCCAGGAGGGAGCTGGAGATCAGTAGCAGTGGGCGATGGTCTCCATGTTGAGGAAGCGGACGTGCATCTTGGTTTCGATGTCGATCCCCTGCCACATCTGCAAGGGGCAGGGGGTGAGTGGGGCCAGGCTGGGGCTCAGCTCGGTGCCCACACCAGGTGCCCAGCTCCCTGTGACCACCCAGCGATGAGCAGAGATGCCACCAACCTTAAGGAAGTCTTCGAAGGTGATGCCCTCGTAGACCTGGTCCGGCCCCTGGGCACAGCGAGAGAGAGAACACATTACGGCTGCCCCACACCAATGGGGCAGGGACCTCGGGGCATTGGGTCACCCTTGGGGCTGTGGGACACGACTCCCATGGGCACACCATGCTGACCCTGCACCATGCCCCATGGCCAGCCCAAAATTGGTTCCCAGAACCACCATGGCTTTTTTAAAGGCACTGAAGCCCCGAGCACTGAGGATGGTGCTTTATGGGGTGCTGTTTGCTCACACCCCTCCCCCCCCCCACCCCACTTTGGGCTCTGATAATGGAAAAGAGAAACCCTGAAAGTTGCTGCCTGCAAAAAAATCTCCATCCAAAGCAGCCCAGGCACAGGGGAGATGCCTCGGGCAGGATGGACACCTTCCAGCCCTGTTTGTGATGCCACCACAGCACCGCTGTGCCGCGACCTGAGCGAGGAACGGGCTCCCACCATTTGTCCCACACAGATGCTGGCTGCCTCCATCATGGCCCCGTCGGCGATGGACCTTGCTGACTCCTTCTCCAGGTGGGGGTTCCCCGACAGCAGCTCCTCCACCACCTACGAGGCAGCGGGTCAGAGCCGGGGCCGGGGATTCGGTGCCAATGGGGCAGGAGGGACCATACGTTACATTTCTGTACTCCTGCAGCGTGATCTTCCCGTCGTGGTCCGAGTCGTACATATGGAAGAGGACTGGGAGGGGGGAGAGGAGCACGGCAGGGTCAGGGGAGCCCTGTCCCCCCCATCCCACCCTACCCCATCCCTGGAGGGGTTCAAGGCCAGGCTGGAGGGGGCTTTGAGCAACCTGGTCCAGTGGGAGGTGTCCCTGCCCAGGGCAGGGGGTTGGAACTCGATGATCTTTAAGGTCTTTTCCAACCCAAACCATTCTATGATTCTGTGATTCTATGATCATTCCCTCCCCCCCAGCCCTGGGTTTTGGGGGAAAGCCTCACATTTGAGTTTCTCTTTGCGGAAGCGATCGAGCTGCTCCTCGTCCATGTTCATCTCGATGGGTCTGAAGTAGGACATGATGGTCAGGAAGTCTTCGAAGTTTATCTCGTCCGCCAGCCCATCCGACTCCGGCCGCAGGTTCCTGCCAAGAGCAGAGCCACCAGTGATGGGCTGCCAAGACCCCCCTGGCCCCCCACTCCCCCCTGCGCGTCCCTCAGCAAAGCTTTAGGACTCGTTTTTCCCCAAGACTTTACTTAAACGCCTCTAATTTCCACCCTGGCTCCATCCCAGCCTTTAAGGAGAAGATCTTTGCCCCCCGCCATTCTATGATTCTGTGATTCTATGATCATTCCCTCCCCCCCAGCCCTGGGTTTTGGGGGAAAGCCTCACATTTGAGTTTCTCTTTGCGGAAGCGATCGAGCTGCTCCTCGTCCATGTTCATCTCGATGGGTCTGAAGTAGGACATGATGGTCAGGAAGTCTTCGAAGTTTATCTCGTCCGCCAGCCCATCCGACTCCGGCCGCAGGTTCCTGCCAAGAGCAGAGCCACCAGTGATGGGCTGCTGAGACCCCCCCGGCCTTCTGCTCCCCCCTGCACATCCCTCTGTAAAGCTTTAGGACTTGTTTTTCCCCAAAACTTTGCTTAAACATCTCTAATTTCCATCCCAGCCTTTAGGGAGAAGATCTTTGCCCCCCAGGTTCCACTTTTAGAGGATAACCCAACTGCCCCCTCCTGCTCCCCGGGGTGCCGGGGGTGTCCTTACCGCTTGTCGAAAAAGGCATGGACGATTTTCCCCCTAATTGGGTTGAACTCCAGGTCGGGGATGCTGTCAAAATTCTCCTTGCTGCAAAGGAAACAGAGACATCCCCGAGCGTGAGGGACTTGGGGAGGAGGGAGCTGCTCCGACGGGCAGCCAAGGGCTGGGACAGAAGCCCCAACCCCGTTCTTTTCAAAGCAAACATGAAAAAAAGAAAGGGGGGGTTTAGCGTGAAAACCCCGATTTGCCTCAATTCAGACTGAAAGCAAGCCGTGCTCTCTCATGGGGCAGGAATGGGGGGATTTTTGTTCCCACTAAAATGGGGAAGCTCTGGGACTCAGCAGCTCGTTTCAGAGCTTTTTCCCAGGAATAATGTCCCGAACGGAGCTGGAGGAACCAAGAGAAGGAATTTCTGCCATCTCCTGATTTGTCTCAATTCAGACTGAAAGCAAGCTGTGCTCTCACATGGGGCAGGAACGGGGGGATTTTTGTCCCCACTAAAATGGGGAAGTTCTGGGACACAGTGGCTTGACCCCCAAATGACTGCACGCTTTTCAGAGCTTTTTCCCAGGAATAATGTCCCGAACGGAGCTGGAGGAACCAAGAGAAGGAATTTCTGCCATCTGCCCTCCTCTCAGCTTCCTCTGCCCTGCGCCATCCCCCTCGTGCTGTGCAGCTGGGCCTGAGCCCGTCCTTCGCTACCGACTTTATTTATAAAGTGAAGAATTAATCTCGGGGGGGTGGGGAGCCGAGGAAAAGTGGGCTCCCCGGGCTGCGCTGGCTCCTGGTGAAGCTGATGGGATGCACCAGAGCTTTCCCAAGGAAGCAGAGTGGTGGCTTTGCCTGCACAGACACCAAGGAGGGGGGGGACAAGGACAAACCACAAATGCCACCGTAGCTGCTGTGCAGGGACTGCTCATTTCCCTCCCCAAAACTGATTTTAAAGCTGGGGGTGGGGGGGGGATGCTCGGCAGGAGCCGCCCTCCTCTCAAGCCACTGCTTCCCTGCTCATTTTCCCTCGTTCTCTGTGATGCCCCACAGCAGAGATGGCTCGGCACGGCCGTGGGGTGCCCGGGAAGGACAGACACGTCCCCGCAGCCCCAGGAGCTGGGTGTCTCAACCAGGCACCCCCCCAGCCCCTGGTGGGGTGGGCACAGCCCCTGGTGGGGGGGATACAGCCCCTGGTGGGTGGGCACAGCCCCCAGTACCGGCACTGGAAGCTCCCTACCGGATGGTCAGCTGGTCCCGGCTCAGCTGCTTGAATCGCCGGTGAAGGTGCTCGATCTGCTCGGAGGTGACTGTGGGGGGAGAAGAGAGAGGTGACAGGGGGGTCCCCGGGCACAGGCAGCACCCCCAGGACACCCACCTGCAGAGCTTGTGTCCTGCCCAGGGGTAGGAGGAGACTGGTGGGCACCAAATCCTGCCACGAAGCTCATTCTCTGGGGGAAACCACCAAAGCCCACCCCATCCAGCAATGGCCAAAAGGCTCCCACACCCCCCGGCAGCAGGGCAAGGCTTTGGGTACTTCTTGGCACAGTTGTCCCTGTCCCCTTTTTCCCTTTGGTGGCTCCAGGCAGCCCTGCAAGGGCCATCTCGCTGCATCGGTCCCCGTGTGCTCTGTCCCTTGGTCGCTGCAGGGGGTGACAGGGTGGCCCCCAAGGGCTGGTTTATCACCATTCCTGGTCTGCAGAAACTCTCCTGGTCCAGACCCCATGGCGGGGCAGGATTCTACCCCCCTGCTCAGTTTAGGATCCTCAAAACCAGACCCTTCAAACACACTTGACCATTTCATTTGGGGGTTGGTGGCACCACGGGCAGGAGATGTGACCAGGGACCACTTCTCGACCTGCCCCAGGACATCTCTGCTTGCAGCTGGGAGGGGAGGTTCCTGTGCTCATGTCCACAGCCACGCTGGGCCACAGAAAATAACACTAAAAAAACCCCAAAACCAGCCCTAAACAACCCCAAAGCTGATAGCAGCCACCCAGAGGCAAGGAAAGGCTCAACAGGGATGAGATGCACCCAAAAAGCAAAGCTGAGCTTGGAAATGGCAGCTGCTGCTCAGGAGAAACGGGGGCTCCAGGCAGCTCTGAACCATGGGGGTGGGCACTGCCCCCCCAGGGACTGCACCCCCCGGAGCAGCAGCCCGGGGCAGGGGCTGGAAGCGGGGTGCCCATCAGCCTTGCCTTGAGCCCCACGAGCGCTGGGGTTGCAGCCTGAGGCTCAGCAGCATCTTTTCACTTCCTCAATCCCACAACCAGTTTTGGGCCCCCTCCCATAAAAAAGACATTGAGGGGCTGGAGCGGGTCCAGAGAAGGGCGACAAAGATGGTGAGGGGTCTGGAGAGTAAGTCTTATGAGGAGAGGCTGAGGGAGCTGGGGTTATTCAGCCTGGAGAAGAGGAGGCTGAGGGGAGACCTTATTGCTCTCTCCAACTCCCTGAAAGGAGGGTGTAGAGAGGTGGGGGTCGGTCTCTTTTCTCAAGTCACAGGCGACAGGACAAGAGGAAATGGCCTCAAGTTGCACCAGGGGAGGTTCAGGCTGGATATTAGGAAAAATTTTTTCACTGAAAGGGTTCTCAGCCATTGGAATGGGCTGCCCAGGGAGGTGGTTGAGGCACCATCCCTGGAGGTGTTCAAAAGACGGGTTGATGTAGTGCTGGGAGGTCTGGTTTAATGATGATGCTCCTTGTTTGTTGTGTGGGCGTCTATTTTTGTCAGTTGGGTTGATGGTTGGACAAGATGATCTTTAAGGTCCCTTCCAACCTAGAAGATTCTGTGATTCTGTGACACAGGTTATTTTATTATATTTTTTTTTTCCCCCAGCTGTAACCAGGCTCTACAACCCCTCGAGGACACGCAGAGCCTGACGCTCGTGCAAATATTGACAGCAGCCGTTCCCAGGAGCCTGGGAAGCTCCTTTTGGCTCCGTTTGCAGGAGCCGGTGGCGTCTGTCCGGGCACCAGCTGGACCCACACGCTCGCTGCCACCCCGTCTGGAGCCAGGCACAGGGCAGGGATGTGCTGGTGTCTGCTCATCAGCCCTTCCCAGCGGTGCGGGGAAAGATAAAAGCACGTTAAAGTCTAATTGAGGGGTTGGAAATGGTTAACTGCTGCGGCTGAAAGACAACAGGTCAACCCTGAGCTCTCCTGCTGGCTGGCTGGCTCCCTCCTGCTCTCTCTCCCTCTCTCTCTTTTATTATGTTTAAATAATGTCCTTTGCTCTGGTTCTGACTGTTGTTTCGCAGCCTTGAAATAGAAACTGTATTGATCAGTCAGGCCGAGCAGCTCCAGACCTCTATTAATGGACTGGAAAACCCATCTGGGCTTGTTGCTGGGGCTCGGTATCTGCGCTGGGTCCCTGCTGGTGCTGGCAGCAGCTAGCCCCTTTGCAGGATGAGGCCATTTAAGCCCCCTAAACCAACTTTGGGGGTCCCCCCTCTCAGGATCCCCCTTGCCTGGCTCTCAAGCAGTGATGCCCAGCTGCACGGGCACCACTGAGTCACCCATATGATTTCTTTTCCCTCCAACCCCTCTCTGGCTGGTGCTCTGTTGCTGTCCCCACACCCAGGGGGAAACTTTCTCCGGACTTTGCTTTCCAATTTTGGCCACAGAGAAGTGACCTCTTGCTTTCTCCCTTGTCAACATCGCTGTCACCATGGGAGCCACTGGGCCACCAAGGCTTCAGTGTTTGGGAAGTGGTTGCGTGGCAAAATCTTCGATCTCCTAGAAGAATATCCCAGATGCTGCCACGAAGTTATGGCTGCCCCATCCCTGGAGGGGTTCAAGGGCAGGTTGGAGGGGGCTTGGAGCAACCTGGTGTGGTGGGAGATGTCCCTGCCCAGGGCAGGGGGTGGCACTGGGTGGGCTTTAAGGTCCCTTCCAAACCAAACCATTCTGTGAGTCTATGACAAAAACCTGGATGCTGACGGTCGATCCAGCCCCACTCCCCATCCAGCCCACAAGCTGCCGGGCAAAAAGAAGGCTCTTCCTCCTTCTTTCCCCAAACCCAGGTCTTCCTCGTCCGGCGAAGGGCGGCAGCGCTCGGCTGCTTTCCAGGAATAAAAAAGCTGTGCCTGCAAAAGGGCAAAGCCTTCCCCGTGAGAAGGACTGGCTCAAGGGCAGCAGAGGCTCTGATGCTGCAGGGCCCGTGTCCAAGAACGGCAACCTACGCTACGGGGTGTGGGGGGGAAAATGGTATTTAAACCCAAAGAAGGCTGGGTTTGCTGTTTCCCAGCCTGCGGTGGTTCGTGCTGCTTGAGCAAAGGGTGTCCCATGGGAAGAGATGCCCAGGAGGGGGCTCAGCCCCACGGTGCCCTCCCTGGAGCAGGAGAAGACCACACCGTCCTGGGGAAAGCCACTTGAGCACCACCAGACACAGCAGCAGCTTCGTGACCAAACACGTGGCGGTGGGGATGGGGACCAGCCCCAAGACCCTGAGCAGTTTGTGGGTGCCCCTGTGGCTTTTGGGGTTTAGAGCACGGGGGAGGAGGGAAAGGAGTGTGCCACGGGCACATCCCGGGACCCCTGCCCTGTCCCTGCTCCTCCCGGGGGACCGAGGGGGACCACGGTGCCCCCCACAGCAGCAAGCCCAGGTATTTCGAGCAGCAGCCACAGCTGGGAGCCCGGTGAATCCCACCACCACCCTGGTCGTGCCATGGGGTCACCACTCTCTGAAATCCAGTTTCCATCACACTTTTTGGGGTGTTGCCTTTGTAAAGCCATCCCCGGGACTGACTCACGGAGTGGGGGGGGCAGTGGGGCGTGAGGCCGGTGCCTCCCACGGGCAGGTGCTGAGAAAGGCCCAGGGGCAGAGCTCCTCAGGCCAAGGCGTTCCCCAAAACAACCTCCTCCCACCCCCGGGGGCTCCCCAGGATCCTGCCAGCGGGGAGGGCTGAGCCCACCCCAGGGTGGGCTGTGGTGCCCGCCCCCCCCTGGGGGAAGAGGAGGCAGGAGAAGGGAGGAAGGGCAGGGATGTGGCCACAGTGGCAGGGACAGGGAGAGCTGCTGGACGCTCTCAGCCCCGAGCCAAGGGAGGTGGGGGGTCCCCAGAGCTGCCCCCCTCCATCACAGCTCGCTCTCGCTCCGGCAGGAGGTGGAGGAACCTGGAAGGAGCACCCCGCTCTTGTGCCAAGGGCTGGCCACGTCCTGGGGCACCCCCGGAGGGACACAACCACCCCGTGTCCTGTGCACCGAGCCCTGGGCCATATCCCTGCTGCAAAACCCCCATTTCCCCCCCAACAACCACCGTAACCAGCCTAGAGAGCCCCCCATGGAGTGGCTCCTGGGCAAACCAGTGACAAGGGGACAATGTCTTGCCCCACAGCGTGGGGGGGCAAAGCCTGTTTGG